AAAATCTAAGTTTAAAAATTGTTTCTGTTTGCTTTACTCATTGTTTTGTGATCGAAGCTCTTCATTTTTTCTGTATGACTGTAGCTATTTAGAGGAAACTAGTAAGTTTGTTAATGGTTGTCTCCCCAACCTTGACTCTTGAAGGCTCGATTCTGGGTGCAGGTGATGAGGGATTTGCGGAATGGAGTGAAACTTAAGAAGGTTCAGGAGCGCCAGTACAACCCTCTGCCCATCGAGTATCAGCTCACGCCTTATGAGATGCTCATGGATGACATTCGATCCCGAAGATACACTTTGCGAAAAGTGATGGTAAGTAACAAAGGAAACTCTTAATGGATTCGTGGTTATTTTTCAATAATCTTATTTGTTGAAAATGCTCTTCTTAGTATTATGTTTTAAAAATTATTTCTTCTCATAAAAGTAATACATGGTCGTTATAGAAAAGTTGGAAAATACAGTCGACTCAAAGAGGAAGAGTTACAAATGTGTAATTCCACAACCCAGACAAAAATTTTGCTAACATGCCGGCGTATAACCTTCAGTCTTTTTTCTGTACATTTTACTTGGACAAAATGGATTAATGGTGAATACTTTGTTTTGTAACCAGTTATTTTCACTTAACATGTTATAAACATCTTCCTGTGTTACTGTATGTTCAGCATCATCATTTCTAAGTGACTGCGTCTTTGCCAGCTTATGTCTGTACCAGAGTTTATTGAGCTAATCAGCTCGTCCAGTTGTAAGCAGCTTATTTTCAGTATCCTTGTATGTGAATCTTTTTGAATAACTACAGTGAAATCCTTGAGTTAAACTCTTAGCAGTGGAAGCCTGGTAGCTTTGCCTGTGCAGCGTGACCTGACTCTCGCCACCTCCGCCTCCGATACCCTCTGTTCCAAGCCGCCGCCGCCTCTCTCTCAGACTGTTGCTGCCGCTCCAGTCTGTCCTACCCTAAAGCGCCCGGAGCAAATTTCTTTAAGTGAGAACGGGGTGATGTCGGTGCCCTGCCAGAACCTTCCGCTCCCAGCACACTCAGAGTAAACTCCACTTCCTGACCTTGGCCGCCAGGTCTGGTCCGGGCTGCCTCTAGACCTCACTTTCCACCACCTTCCTGCTTGGTTTTCCCTCTGGCCACCGTGGTCCCTGCCGCTGCCTCGCAAGTGCCTTGCATGCCCCTGCAGTGGGGCCTCTGCTGTTCCCTCCCCCTGGGGCCTCTTCCCACATGTCTGCGTAACTTGCCTCGACTTTCCAGGTCTCTGCTCAGATGTCTGCTGCTCATTAGGAAGGTCTTTACCTGTGTGTGTCAATAGCTCACGTTGCCATGTATTTTCAAGTTTACTGTGTCCCTTACAAATACAGGGACGTGGTGACAGTTGCTTTTTTGTGTTGCTCTTCTTGCTGAGTTTGTTAGCTCTGACAGTGCTCTCGATGTGCCGTTTAGGATACTTTATTTTACGTATATGCTCGTATCATCTGTGAAGAGAGGTACTTCTGCTTCTCCCTTTCCTACCTGATGCCTTTTAATTGCCCTGATTGGAACCTGCACTTCGTTGTTTAACAGGTGCGGCAAGAGCAGGCATCCAGGGTTGCTGGATCTCTGATCATGGGGGAGGAATCAGTCCTTCACTGCTGAGTGTGATGTTGGCTGTGGATTTCCATAAATGACTTGATCACGCTGAGGACATTTTTTTCCAGTCCAATTTTATAGCGTGTTTTTATCATGAAATTGTGTTGGATTTTGTCAGATCCTTTTTCTGCATCAATTAAGACAATCGTGAGTTCTTGTGCTTCATTCTGTGGATGTGGCACTGAGTGGTTTCTGTGCGTTAAACCACCCTTGTGTTTATGGGGTGAATCCCTCTAGGTCGTGATGTATAATCCTTTTACTACCCTGCTGGAGTACTGGCTGGTACTTTGTTGAGGATTTTGTATTCTTACTCAGAAGGGATTTGGCCTGCTGTTCTCTTGTGGCATCTTTGTCTGGCTTCGTATCAGGGTAATGCTGGGCTCAGAATGAATTGGGAAGTGTTACCTTGTTTTCTAATTTTTGAAATAGTTTGTGAAGGACTGGGGTTAACTCTTCTTTTAATGTTTGAGTTGAACTCACCGGTGGAGTCTTCTGGTCCTTGGCTTTTCTTTATTGGGGGGTTTTTGATTGCTGATTCGGTCTCTTTACCTGTTATAGGTCTGTTCAGATTTATTTCTTCCCTCCCCCCTCCTCAGGACTCTGCCAAACTCTTCTACTTACTAATTCTCTGAGTGTAGCAGGACCTCCTTGATCAGAGCCTGAGTTTGTCTCCAGAATGTGAATCATGTTCCCATTTCTTCTCATTACCCTGGTTTTGTACAAGGATGAAAATAAGAGGTAAAAGACTTTTTGGATTATGAAATAATTCAGTGTAGTATTATTTATTCCATTCATAGTCATTTTAACACTCTCTGTTGGAAGAATGTATCTCAAGTATAATTTCCCAAAATGATAGAGCTAAATGGACTTGGATTTTCTTCAGTTCTGCATAGTTACTTCTGCTCTGAATCACTCAGCTACTTACTCTCCATTTTATTGCTTTGAAGTGTGTCCTTGGTGAGCCAGATTACGCTTCCATAGTTTTAAAGTGGCATACTTGACATAACAGCTGAACCCAGAAATTTATAATGAGAATCCTGTAGTCACGTGAATCTTGCACTTTTTGTCTCCTTTCAGGTGAATGGTGATATTCCCCCTCGGTTAAAGAAAAGTGCTCACGAGATCATCCTGGACTTCATCAGATCAAGACCTCCTTTAAACCCGGTATGTCGTCCGGCAAGTTCCCTGTGGCTGCAGAGCACCCCCGGAGGCCTTCTCCTCTGGCGAGTGGCACCAGGATGCAGTTCTTACCGTAGTATTTACCGGGAGCTCTCATTCTCAGAGCTCTGAAGCCCAGTGTCTATGACATTCTTAAGTCAAAAAATACTGAAAATTACTCAATACGGTGCTATCTTACGATGTTTTAACTCAAAACAACCCGAGTTACGGCCAAAATCTGGCCAAGTGCCTTCTAGAGTAACGGGTAAATACGACGCCACATAGTTCCTGGTGTGGGCTGCCCACCATGTTTATGGCGCAAATACTCTGCCTTGACTAAATTGTCGTTTTGATACTGTTTTACAGTCAGCCCACCCTGCTGTACCTCCCCCTTTGCCAGGGTTCTTTCTAGGGACTGTGGAATTGGGGTGCTCTGATCTGGTGTGAATGTTGGTTTGTGTTTCCTCTGCTCTACTCTGACGTCCCCTGGCTTCACAGCCAGCGCCTCCCAAAGCCTCTCAGATCCCATCTACGTTCAGTAACTAGAGTGGGAGGTGCTTCTTTCTCAATTTGAGTACATCTAAAGCATAATTAATGATCTCTTTTATAAATCCTTTTAAGATAAGGGAAAGGCCACGTCGAAAGGAATGTTATGAAGGCTGGTAGGTCATGGGAGGGAAGAGAGAGCCTGGAGTCAGATGAGCCCGGGATCCGCACAGCAGCTCCACTGTTTGGTGGCCACGTGTCTGAACAAGTTAATCGGCCTCCCTGAGCCTTCGTTTCCTCCTCTGCAGAGCAGATGATAACCTAAGGAGGCTGTGATGGCTTACTCAGGAACAGTAATAGTAGCCGGTAGCGCACAGCATGCATCTCACCTGGTTGCCCGTCATGGTAGCAGATGGAGAACATGATTATATCTGAGGCAAAACTGACTCCTTAAAGTTAGTTGAGCATGTGGGACTGACCCACTGTGAAATCTGGTAATCTCCCTATTGCTCGAAAATAGTCTAAGTAGTGTTGTAATCAATAAAATATAATTTCATGATACTCTACTGTGTGAATGGACTTCAGTAAAAACTAAGGGCAACTACTCAAGCGTCTTAATTGTTCCATTTCTTTTCCCCAAGGTCTCAGCCAGAAAACTGAAGCCAACTCCACCGCGGCCACGGAGCCTCCATGAAAGGATACTGGAAGAGATCAAAGCAGAGAGAAAGCTGCGGCCCGTCTCCCCAGAGGAGACCAGACGCAGCAGGTTAGGTGAGTGGACTGCTCGGTGCTCGCCTGGCCTCGGGTCGCCCCTCGTAGACGGCGCTGCCGTGTGGCCGCCCCCGCAGAGCGCCTTTCCTTGCTCTTCTTCCCCCACCCCCTCACAACAGCCTCACACTTGAAGATTATACTTGAAATTCATAGAATTCACGAGCGTGTCATGGCGTGATGGGAAGGACTGCCGGTCTCCAGACTGTGGTTTCAGGACGGTCTTTCCCTCTCTGAGCATCGGTTTCCTCATCAGCAGAAGGGGGATAAAAGTTCCTCCACACCTTTGTTCTGGCTTTCACATAAGAAATTAAATAGGATTATGGTCAAAATACTTTATAAACTGTATGTGAACGTGGGTGGGTTACTATGCTTTAGAAATGTAAACGACAGGTGCGTAGTTTTACTTCAGATGTCTCGTCTTAATTGTGGCTTAAAGATACAGTATTATCTGATGAGAGAATCGATTATTACTGATACCACTTAACTTCCTGTATGTTTATTATATTTAATGATTTTTATAAGCACACATTGATTTTCGTTTATAGCAAGACCGTATTACGAAACGTAAGCATTTTTGTTGACACACCTCTCCTCCGATTTGTAGGATTAAAGATGCCCAAGGAGCTCAGGGAAACTTCCTTTAGGAAAACAGATTATAGTGGCGCCTGAACAGGGAAGGAACCGGCTCTGTGACACCGTCTTCTGGTTTTCTCCTCTGGTCTCTCTTTCTACCTCTTTCGGGCTCTTCTTGGTCCTTCAGGATTCTGTCCCGGGCTCACTTCACCCTGAGCAATTACACCCTTTTCCATGGTCTCTGTTTCTGGCTAGAAACGTCTGCTAGACGGGGCCACCTCACCCCTGACATGCAAGGCAGGCCCATGGTGCCCACAGGTGACCTCTCCTGCCTTCTCAAACTGTCTCCCCTGGCTCCCCATCTCAGTGTGACCAGGATGGAGGCCTCAGCATCACTTTTGACCCATACCCAGCGGCCAGGCCTGCTGATTTGACTTCTCCTGGGTCTTTCTAGTCATCCCTTCTTTGAGCCCCACAGTGGTGAGTGACCCTGGCCCCACCTCTCCTCTCATCTCCTGAGTCACATCCGCTCTGACCGTGCTGTCCGCCTCCCGTGACTCCCAGTCACCCCACACTGATGCGCTCCTGTTTGGCACTCGGCTCAGTGCACCATGACCCGGACCAGCAGGACCCTGTTGTGCCCGGTCTCCACTGCAGGGCTGTAAGGAAAAGCGCTCCCATAGGTGTTAAATAATTGAGTGTGTCTTCTGGTCACACAGCTGCAGAGTGCACAGGGGCTTTGTGGGTTTATCCCTGCCTCATTCTTGTGGCAGTAAGTGTTTTCTCTTTAAAATGATGTTTAAAGCATGCTGAGTGACAAATCCATGGGAGTGAGCACTGATATAATAATGAGCTGAAACATTTAACCATGTGAACCGAGAGTTCTTATTCTAGGAGTCCCTGAGTGAGCCTGAGCAGGGTCTGTGAGTCCCCTGAAGTATAAAAAAATGTGTGCATATTTCACAGAGGGTGTGCATGTGCATTTTTCTGGAGGGAGGTTCCATTGCTCTCCTCAGATGCCTAAAAGAGGGTCCACAGCCTCAAAAGAGTAAGAACTTAACACTGTGGAAAAATAAGGAAGTGGTATCGTAGGATGGCAGCTGAAGACTAGATTTTTTAAAAATTACTGTATTAGAGAAGGAATAATGGAGGTAATAGGAAAGACTTCAACAAAACTATAGGGCAGAACAAATATATTACCATGAGAAAAATAAGCTTCAATATAAATAGACATTTCTCCAAAGAAGACATACAGATGGCCAGTAGGCACATGAAAAGATGCTCAGTATTGCTAATTAGAAGAGAAATGCAAATCGAAACTACAATGATGTATCACATCACTCTGATCAGAATGGCCATCATTAAAAAATCTACAAATAATAAATGCTGGAGAAGGTGTGGAGAAAAGGGAGCCCTCCTGCACTGTTGGTGGGAATGTAAGTTGGTGCAGTCACTGTGGAGGACAGTATGGAGGTTTCTTAAAAAACTAAAACTAGAACCACCAAATGGCCCAGCAATCCCGCTCCTAGGCATATATCCAGAGAAAACTTACAATTTGGAAAGACACATGCACCCCAGTGTTCATAGCAGCACTATTTACAGCAGCCAAGACATGGAAACAACCTAATTATCCATCAACAGATGAATGGA